ATGCTGTGTCTTAGAGGGGCCGTTTGGTGTGCTGTCTCTTTAAGGGTGAGAACTCAGTTTCCTATTGCCCTCTGGCTCTCTCAGAGCCAAGCCAGCTGATTTTTTTTTAATTCCAGGAATTAATCCCCTTTGATTGTAAGAATGAAATTTGGCCCCTCCCATTTTCAAAGCCAAATGTTATGGGGATTTGTCTTCCCAATGTGGGTTCCCTGTGCCCTGGTTGCCTGGTATGGGGTCTGCTCCCCACTGCTACCTGTACCTATGGCAACCCTCCCTCCCATGGTCAGTCCTGTGGGTCAGATTGGCTCCTGACCACATCTCCATCCTTCCTACCCTCTTTGATGTGCCCTCTTCTTTTATATTTAGCTGTGGAGAGTCTGTTCTTTCAGTCTTTGGGTCATCATCAGGGCTCAAAAATAAGCATACTTAGGTAGAGCAATCTTATCACAATGCACTCTCAAGAGATTTTGTGGGATGAAAAACACCTCCATAAAAAGTCTTCTGCCTCACTGGGAAGACCCTTATCAGGAACTGCAAACCAACCCTCGTGCCACGAAACTCCAGGGAATAGACTCTTGGATTCATGTAACACACCTAAAGAAAGCACCAAACGATAACTGGACCTGCACACCATCTGATGACATGAAAGTAAAGATTTCCTGGAATTGAAGCAGATGATATCTGATGAGACAGATTTCCCAAGATGTCTGGACCAGGCCTGTATACCTTTTCCTCACCATTGATGCTTCTTTTTTGTGGGAAGACAACGCCTCCTCTGCACTTCCCAAGCCCTTGTGGAAGGCAGAAACCTCTTCTTTTGATTATACCTTTTTGGAAACAGCTTCATCATGATCCTGGGACAAATTAGTTTTTCAGTTGCTTTATTTTTGAAGGGTTAGAAAGTTCAGAATTCATAAAAGTCCTTCATCTGGACTATTAACTGATTTTGGATTCTTATCCAGATTCATGGTTTCTGATTTTGCAACCACAGACTCTATTTTCAATAATACATTTGATTCCAAACAGTCTTTTGAGGTAACAATACTACTGTAAAACATCTTTGAGGTTGTGCTGTTTTGCAAAAAGTTCATCAGCTATTGCTTCATGTTTATATCTGCACTGTCACTTCTCAAGATGCCTCAGTTAAGTCTTTTAGTGTGGTCTTGTAGTATTCATGATTCTGTGTTCATGGTCTCTTTAAGTGGAGCCCACCAGGAGGCATACATGGCTCCAGGTTTGCCTTCATAGAATCTTTCTCCCATAAGTTGGAATAAGTGTCAATAAATATTTCAGTGTCTACTTCCAGACCTAGAGTCCTGGTTTAGAACTATTATACAATTTGGAATTGGTAGTTACTTCTGTTTTGTATATTTGTTTATTTTGTTGCCTGTTAGACTTTAAAAAAATGTTGTCTCCATTAATGTGATGCTGGCTCAACCCTTCGAGATGATTTCCAACACCTATGACCTTGAGTAGATACTACTTTAGGTGGGAGTACCTGAGAGTTTCTCCCTCCTAATCAAATGTGAGTAACATAGAAGTACTTTCCCTCCAATATAGGATGTGACAACCAGGGGAAGATCCTTCCTGGTACTGAGGGACAAAACCACTAAATGTGGAAAACTTCCCTCTTGATCAGTGATGTTTTCAAAAAAAGATGAAAAGTGGGAAATGTGAAAATTAACAAAAGGAAACCTCATTTAAAATGGAGTTGGGAGGCCAACAGGGGGCGCTGTCATGTCCAGCCACTCATCAATTGCAGACCCAAAAAGGTACCCAAAGAAAAAGCAGGGGTACCTTGCACGTGGATACTACTTTACTATTCTCAGCAAGAAGGATTTCTTCCTCCCTCAGTAAAGCCCAGGTAATTAGAGACTGTCATAACTCAGCCAATGAAAACCCACTATATTTCAAGTTTCTAGTTTACTCTAATTGACTTTATTTATAACAGCCTTCTCAATTCCCCCCTTTCCTCTGTAAAAGAGCATTCCTTTCCTTTGTTCTGTAGATTTACCAATGCTATTGCCATAGCTTGCTTGTCCTGGATTGTAATTCTCTGCTATTCCTGAATAAACTCAGTTTTTTGCTGGTAAAATAACTGGCAGTTTTATTTTTAAAACACAGTCCAAAGGGCAAATCTTTTTTAAAGACTGGGACAATTTCCAGTTCTTAATCTAACAGATTTTGAAGCAGAGGCATTTAAATGCCAGTAAAAAGGTATATATACATTGCTTAGGAGAAGAAGTAAAGGTGGTAAAGTGTTTGTAAAGAACCTACTTAGTGTGGAAACCAAACATCTGACTAATTTACTGTAGCTCCCAATACCTCTCTGGGCATTTGGAAAATCAATTATTCAAAGAAGCAAAATTTTGTTCATCTGTTCATGGTAAATGGTCTTTTTTGCTACTGACCTATATTCTTCAAACACAGATTAGACTACATTGCTCTTTTCACCCTTATATTTTCAGTGCATTCATCCAGTTATATTTTTAGGATTTCTATTATATCACAAGCTCTCAGTATACAAACTTAAACAATCTAAACAAATTCAATTAATCATCAGAATTAAAATAGGGGATAAGGTTTGTGATGGAAATATGAGTCTAAAACCTCCAAAACAATGGGCCATTCCAATTTCACATTCTGTACCTTTTATTTTAGTGGGCAACTGCCTAGGAGAAAAATGGATTATGCATAGTTAATTTGGAAAAGTAAAAAATAAAAATGTAAGGAAAATGAGAAAATTAAGAAATGTCTGGTTTAACTCTTATACCTAGTTCTCTCCCACCCCTCACCCATCCATTCTCCTTACAGTGACCCAGGGATTACTGATCTCTCCCCCTTTCTCATTTGTTAATGCAAATCTTATGTCCCTCCTCTGCTTAAAACACTAATGGTTGCCCATTCATCTCAGGATAAAATACAAAATCCCCAGTGATCTACAAAGCCCTACTTGATCTTGTCACTACCTACCTTACTAGTTTTATCTGATTTCACGTACTTTTAGGATTTCTGTGCTCCAGCCACATTGATATTCTTTTGGTTCCAAAAATTCAGAATTCTTCTGAGGTATTGAGACATTTGCCCTCTTTTGTTCCCTCTGCTGAGAATGCTCTTTCTGTTTATAGGTAACCCTGCATCGTGTCTAGATCATTGCTCAGATTTCCATTTTCCCCCAAAGTGTGTAGTTCTGTTTTCCTGCCCTACCAGCGTAGCAGGCCCCCTTTATATGCTGTCATGGATGCCTGCATTCTCATGCAGCCCTTAACACTCTTGTAATTGAACAGCTCATGGACCTAGTCTCTAACTTCTGTCACTAATGTCTAGCAATATACATTCCCTAAACCTTACTGAAATTCAATAAATATTCGCTAAATCAATGAATTAACACCTTATCTGGAATAAAATGAGACTTCTGTGCTTCTAGAATTATCTGGGCGGGGGGGGGGGGGCGAGATGGATACTGGTGAAACATAACATCTACCACCTTAGAACTATTCTAAGAAGTCTGTCTCGCCAAAAACCATTCATAGTAAATGCAGGATCTGGTACATTTGTATAGATGGAGTAGCTCCATCTGCAGCAGCCAGAAACAAGTACTAATCAACCTCCCTTTCTCTTACTTTACTCATTCATTAGTAACAAAGTCCTGTTAATTTTGCCCTTAGGATCTTCCATATCTGTTCATGTATCTTATTTATCTCTGCCTTTCTACAAGTTTAATTTGAGGTCATCATCATCTCCTGCATAGATTCTTCTAACAGCTTTCCTATTATTCTTTCAGTTTTAGCCTCTGTTCCCACTTCAGCTGAAGGTATTTTTCTAAAATGTATATATAAATGCATACCTAAAATGTATACATTCTGCTTTTAAAATGCTTTCCCTCAGGATAATGTACTAATTTCTCAAGAGGGCTTACAAGGCCTTTTATAACTTAACCCTGCCTACCACTCTTTGGTTCTTTATTGCTATCTCCTTCCAAATTCAAGGTGTCAGCTATACCTAATACTTACTTATGCAATCACCATGTTTTCTCTGCTTCCAGGTCTTGGCTCTTTCCACTATTTCTTCCTAGCCCTACTTTTGAGGCCTGGCTAATTTTTCCCACCACCAATTATATTAGGACACCTATGTCTTGTTTGTTGTACTCTTAATGCCTGGCATATGATCAGTGTTTAATGTTATTTTGGGTGGTCAGCATTGTATTCTTCTTGGTTTAAGTGATGATGCTTATCTTTGCTGTTTTGGCAGGTTTTTGTTTCTGATGTTGGAAATAAAACTTGGAAATTTTATGATTGGTCACAGATTACAACTGTGGTGATTTTTGGAAAATATGACCCAGAACTTATGTGTTATGCTCATTCACATGGAGCCAGAGTAGTGCTAAAAGGTGAGTTACAGTTTTTACCAGATGTGTCCAGCCAATTGGTATTTACTTGCATTGTTTGCCATCCTGACTTTCCAAATAATTCCCTTTTCATGTTTATCTGGTAAATTTTTTCATCCTAAAATTAATCTTATATAATAATTCATTTCACAGATAGTTTTTTTTTTTAAAGATTTTATTTATTTATTTGACACAGAGAGAGAGACAGCAAGAGAGGGAACACAAGCAGGGGCAATGGGAGAGATAGTTAAAATAACTATAGGGCACCTGGGTGGCTCAGTCGTTAAGCGTCTGCCTTTGGCTCAGGTCCTGATTCTGGAGTCCTAGGATCAAGTCCCACGCTCCCCGCTCAGCGGGGAGTCTGCTGCTCCCTCTGACCCCCCCCCCCACCATGCACACTCTCTCTCCCATTCTCCCTCTCAGATAAATAAAATCTTAAAAAAAAAAAATAAGCCACTATGATTTTGAGCAAGATGTGAATCCTAATTAGCATGATGACTTTTAGTTAGTCATAGTCTTCAATTTCTACTTCTAATTTGAGAATTATATTACTAATTATTCATAATGATTATTTTGGAGATTGAGTAATGACTTTCTATTATTTCAGTATATTATTTCTCTACTTCAAAAACTTAAGTTGGGGGCTTAGTATTCCAAAATAATGAGATGTTTTAAAGGTTTTGTGAAATAAATGTCATTAAACTGTAAAAAGCATATATGCACAAAAGATGTATATTTCTTCCATAGGAGATGCACCCTTAAAGGATATCACTGATCCTATTTTCAGAGCATCCTGGATAGCTCAAAAAGTTAAGTTGGCCAAAACACAATATATGGATGGAATTAATATAGACATAGAGCAAGAAGCTAATTGTTTATCACCGGAATATTATGCATTAACCACTTTAGTCAAAGAAACCACAGACTCTTTCCATCGTGAAATTAAGGGATCACAGGTAAAAGTTCATTTGTTATTTTTTGGATTTCCTTATTTTCCCTATCAAAATGTATTCATGAAAGTGTGACTAATAGAATCTCAGCTTTACTGAGTAGGAGAGAATTTCAGCACATATATCCTAAAAATGTTTTCTGAACTTTTGAGGTTCTTATTAGAGTTTTATAGAATTTTAAGGTGCTCTGTTCTCTGTCCATATGAAGACACAGCATTGAGATTGTTCTCCCTACTTGCCTTGCAGCAGGGTTAGAGATATTAAATAGGCAACTGGATCAGCAAGAATCAGGAAGTGCTTACTGTCCAGCCCTGCTTTCACTAGGGCAGGACAGAAATAGCTCTTGCCTAAGAGTAGACATAGTTCTGGGGAAGTGTCTCACTCACTTCATAGGCTCTGAATTACTTGTAAAGCACCTGACCTCCAAGAAAGCTCTAAGTACTAACTCCATACAATTTGACAGAGCTATGACAAAGCCTTCCCCATTGCCATAGTGAGCATGATTAGAGCAGAAGATCACAGCAGAAGGCATCTTGCCAGTCAATATATGGGTAATAAAAGATAATGTGGCCCTGGATCAGTGATCTCAAACCTGACCACATATTAAGATAACCAAGTCTTTCTTTTCTTTTTTTTTTTTTTTCCTTTTTTTGAGAGCATGCATGCATGCAAGCAAGCAGGGGAGGGGCAAAGGGAGGAGCAGAGAGAATCTTAAGTAGGCTCCATGCTCAGCACAGAGCCTGGTGCCAGGGCTTGATCTTATGACCCTGAGATCATGACCTGAGCCAAAATCAAGAGCCAGACACTTATCCAACTGAGCCACCCAGGCACCCCAAAATAACCAAGTCTTTAAACACCCCCCCACACACACACCTCAATGAATCAAGTCAAATGAACTTTTTGGCTTTCCAGTACATATAAAGTTATGTTTACTCTTTACTATAGTCTATTGAGTGTGCAATAGTATTACATCTGAAAAATAATATAAATACCTTAATTAAAAAATACTGTATTGCTAAAAATGCTAACCATCATCTGAGCTTTTCATCAAGTTGTAATCTTTTTGCTGGGAAAGGGTCTTGCCTTGATGTTAATGGCTGTGACTGACCAGGGTGGTGGTTGCTAAAGGTGGGGGGAGGCTGTGGCAATTTCTTAAAATAAAACAAAAATGAAGTTTGCTGCACTGATGGACTCTTCCTTTCACAAACAATATCTTTGTATCATGCAATGCTGTTTAAATAGCATTTTACCCACAGCAGAACTTCTCCCAAAATTGGAGTCCATTCTCTCAAATCTTGCTGCTGCTTTATTGACTAAATGTATGTAATTTTCTAAATCTCTTGTTGTCATTTCAACGATCTTCATAGCATCTTCACCAGGAGTAGATTCCATCTCAAGAAACCACTTTCTTTGCTCATTCAAAAGAAGCAATTCCTCATCTGTGAAAATTTTATCATGAGATAGCAGCCATTCAATCACATCTTCAGACTCTACTTCTACTTCTAGTTCTCCTGCTAGGTCTACCACATCTACAGTTACCGCCTCCATGAAAGTCTTAAACCCCTCAATGTCCTTCATGAGGGTAGGTCCTGTTCCAAACTCCTCTTACTGTTAATATTTTGATTTTTTCCCCATGAATCACAAATGTTCTTAATGGCATATAGAATGGTGAATCCTTTCCAGAAGGTTTTCTTTCTTTCTTTTTTTAAAGATTTTTTATTTATTTATTTGAGAGAGAGAGCACATGAGAGGGGGGAGGGTCAGAGGGAGAAGTAGACTCCCTGCTGAGCAGGGAGCCCAATGCAGGACTCGATCCAGGGACTCCAGGATCATGACCTGAGCCGAAGGCAGTCGCTCAACCAACTGAGCCACCCAGGTGCCCCAGGTTTTCAGTTTACTTTGCCCAGATCCTTCAACGGAATCATTGTCTGTGGCAACTGTAGTCCTACTAAATACGTTTCTTAAATAATAAGATTTGAAATTTGGAATGACTATTTGATCCATGGGCTGCAGAATGGATGTTGTGTTAGCCAGCATGAAAACAACATGCATCTCATTGTCTATCTCCATCAGAGCTCTTCAGTGACCAGGTACATTGTCAATGAGTAGTCATATTTTGAAAGGAATCTTTCTTCAGTAGCTCTTAACAGTGGGCTTAAAACATTCAGTAAACCATGTTGTAAACAGATGTGCCCACATCCAGCTTTTTTATTCCATTTATAGAGCACAGGCAGAGTAGATTTAACATAATTCTTAAGGGGCCTAGGATTTTTAGAATGGTCAATGAGAAATGGCTTCAACTTAAAGCCACTAGCTACTTTAGCCCCTAACAAGAGATTCAGCCTGTTTTATGAAGCCTTGAACCAGGCATTGACTTCTTTCCAGGTATGGAAGTCCTAGATGGCATCTTCTTCCAATAGAAGGCTGTTTTGTGTATCTTAAAAATCTGTTGTTTAGTATAGCCACCTTCATTAATTATCTTAGCTAGATCTTCTAGATAATTCACCACAGCTTCTATATCAGCACTTGCTGCTTCACCTTGCATTTTTTTTTTTTTTATGGAGAAAACTTCTTCCCTTAAACCTCATGAAACAAACTCTGTTGCTCCAAACTTATTTTTGCAGCTTCCTTACTTCTCCCAACCTTCACAGAATTTAAGGCCTTATTCTCTGGATTAGCTATGGCTTAAGGGGATGTTGTGGCTGGTTTGATCTTCCATCCAGACCACTACAACTTTTTCCATATCAGCAATATGGCTGTTTTGCTTATTTTTTTTTTTAATTTTTAGTATTTATTTTTAATTTTTTTATTTTATTATGTTAATCGCCATACATTACATCATTAGTTTTTGATGCTTTCTTATAATGTGTTCACTGGAGTAGCACTTTTAATTCCTTCAAGAATTTTTTCTTTCACAACTTGGCTGTTTGGCACAAGAAGCCTAGCTTTTGGCCTTTCTCAGCTTTTTTTTTTTTTTTTTTAAGATTTTATTTATTTGACAGAGAGAGACACAGTGAGAGAGGAGCACAGGCAGGGGGAGTGGAGGGGGGAGAGGCAGGCTTCCCGCCGAGCGGGGAGCCCGATGCGGGGCTCGATCCCAGAATGCTGGGATCATGACCTGAGCCAAAGGCAGGCGCTTAACGACTGAGCCACCCAGGTGCCCCTGGCCTTTCTCAGGTTTTGACAAACTTTCCTCACTAAGCTTAATCATTTCTAGCTTTTGATTCGAAGTGAGAGACGTGTGACTCTTCCTTTCACTTGAACACTTAGAGGCCATTGTAGAGTTATTAATTTGTTCTAATTTCAATGTTATTGTGTCTCAGGGAATCGGGAGGCCCAAAAGAGGGACAGAGACAGGGAAACAACCAGTGGGTGGAGCAGTCAGAACACACACATTTATGGATTGTTTGCCATCTTATATGGGCATGGTTTGTGGCACCCTAAAACTATTACAATAGTAACATTAAAAATCACTGACCACAAATCAGAATAATGAAAAAGTTTGATATATTGTGAGAATTACCAAAATGTGACACAGAGACATGAAGTGAGCAAATGCTGTTGGAATAATGGTGCTGATAGACTTGCTTGATGCAGGGTTGCCAAAAACTTTAAATCTGTAATAAAAAAAAAAATGCAGTATCTGTGAAGCACAATAAAATGAGATACACCTATACAAGACTAAATAGTGAGATTTTTGAAGGTGGGGACCAGCTCCTTTCTATCTAACACAATGTTAAAAATTGTTTATTTAGTGAATAAATGATACCTGCCTTTCAAAAATTTAAAATCTAGTTAAGTAGGAAATATATACATATGAAATATATATTCTATTTCATATAAATAGGTTTAGAGTCACTGGTTTATATTACCTGAGAATCACCTGATTGTTAAACTATCTCGAGAGATTGATTCAGTAGGTCTGGCATAGAGCCTAGGAACTGTATTTTTACCAACTGTGCTAGGTGATTTTGGTACAATTGGTCAACATGAATTTGAGATTCACTGGAAAATAATAAATGATATAAGGATTGATATCTCTGTGGCTTTATGTAAGCAAGGAAGTTTTATCAGTGTAGAATTTGTCTTTTCAGCTAAGTACAATTTATTACCTATTTATTTACCCCATCTCCCCACCCACTCCCCTCTGGCAACTACCAGTTCTCTGTATTTAGAAGTCTGTTTTTTGTTTGTTTGTTCCTTTGTTCACTTGTTTTGTTTCTTAAATTCCACATATGACTGAAATCATATGGTATTTGTCTTTCTTATTTCACTTAGCATAATACCTTCTAGGTCCATCCATGTTGTTGCAAAGAGTAGGATCTCATTCTTCTTTATGGCTGAGAAATATTCCATCATAGAGAGAGAGAGAGAGAGAGGGAGGGAAGGAGGGAGAGAGGGGGAGACAGGCATAGAAACATACCTGCATCTTCTTTATCCCTTCATCTATGGATAGACACTTGGATATCCTCCATATCTTGACTATTGTAAATAATGCTAATAAACATCGGGATGCATATCTTTTTGAATTAGTGTTTTCATTTTCTTTGGGTAAATACCCAGTAGTGGAATTACTGGATCATATGGTATTTCTGTTTTTATTTTTTTTTGAGGAAACTCCATACTGTTTTCCATAGTGAATGCACCAATCACATCCTCACCAACAGTGCACAAATGTTCTCCTCATCCTTGTCAATACTTATTTCTTGTCTTTTTGATAGTAGCCATTCTGATAAGTGATATCTCCTTGTGGTTTTGATTTGCAATTCCTTGATGATTAGTAATGTTGAGCATCTTTTCATGTGTCTGTTGGCCATTTGTATGTCATCTTTGGAAAAATGTGTATTCAGGTCCTCTGCCTATTTTTAATTGAACTATTTGTGTTTTGGGTGTTGTGTACACTTTTTACATATTTTGGGTATTAATCCCTTATTGGATAGATCATTTGCAAAAATCTCCCATTCAATAGATTTTTCATTTTGTTGATGGTTTACTTCACTGTGCAAAAGCTTTTTATTTTGTTGTAGTCCCAATAGCTTATTTTTTCTTTTGTTTCCCTTGCCTGTAGAGGCATATCTAGAAAAATGTTGCTAAGGCTGATCTCAAAGAGATTACTAGACATGTTTTCTAGAAGACTTTTGGTTTCAGGTCTCACATTTAGATCTTTAATTCATTTTGAATTTATTTTTGTATACGGGTTGAGAAAGTGGTCCAATTTCATTTTTTTTTTTTTTTTGCATGTAGCTGTCTTATTTTCCGATTACCATTTGTTGAAGAGACTTTCTTTTCCCCATTGTATATTCTTGCCTACTTTGTTGTAGATTAATTGACCATATAAATGGGGGTTTATTTCTGGGCTTTCTATTCTGTACCATTGATCTTTGTGTCTCTTTTTGTGCCAGTACCATACTGTTTTGATTATTATTATTTGTATAGTGTATTTTGAAATCTGGAATTGTGATCCTTCCAACTTTGTTGGTTGTACCATAAGGATTTTAGTATTATTTATTCTAGTTCTGTAAAAAAAAAAAAAAAAAAAAAAGGTTCTTGTATTTTGATAAGGATTGTATTAAATCTGTAGATTGCTTTGGGTAGTATGGACATTTTAACAATATTAATTCTTCCAATCTATGAGCATGGAGTATCTTTCCATTTGTTTGTGTCATCTCCAATTTCTTTCATAAATGTTTTATAGTTTTTAGAGTACAGGTCTTTTACCTCCTTGGTTAAGTTTATTCCTAGGTATTTTACTTGATTTTTGGTACAGCTGTAAATGGAATTATTTCTTAATTTCTCTTTCTGCTACTTTATTATTAGTGTATTGAAATGCAACAGGTTTCTGTATATTAATTTTGTATCCTGCAACTTAATTCATTTATTGGGTCTAGTTTTTGGTGCAGTCTTTAGGGTTTTTTTATATATAGTATCATGTTATATGAAAATAGTAACAGTTTTACTTCTTCCTTACCAATGTGGATGCCATTTATTTCTTGTTTGATTGGTACAGCTAGGACTTCTAATATTATATTGAATAAAAGTGGTGAGTGTGGACATCCTTGTTTCTGAACTTAGAGGAAAAGCTCTGTTTTTCACCATTGAGTATGATCTTATCTGTGGGTTTTATCATATATGGCCTTTATAATGTTGAGGTATGTTACCTCTAAACCCCCTTTGAGAATTTTTATCATGAAAGGATATTGAATTTTGTCAAATGCATATTCTGCATCTATTGTTATGATCATATGATTTTATCTTTCATTGTGTTACTATGGAATATCATGTTGGTATGTGGATATTGAACCATTCTTGCATCCCTGGAATAAATCCCACTTAGAGGATGATTCTTTTAATATATTGTTGAATTTGCAACAATATATTGTTGAATATTGGCTTGCTAATATTTTGTTGGCTTGTTGTTTTCTCTTTTTTGTATTGTCTTTGTCTTGTTTTGGTGTCAGGGTCTCATATAATGAATGTGGAGTCTTCCTTTTCTTTTTTCGGAAGAGTTTGAGAAGAATAGGTTACCTCTTTTTTCAATGTTTGGTAGAATTCACCTATAAATACATCTGGTTCTGGACTTTTGTTTGTTGGGAGATTTTGGATTATAAATTCAATTTTGTTGCTATTAATTGGTCTGTTCAGATTTTTTATTTCTTCCTAATTTCATTTTGGGAGGTAGGTTCTTTATGTCTAGGAATTTACCCATTTCTTTTTTTTTTTTTTTTAAAGATTTTTTATTTATTTATTTGACAGAGAGAGACATAGTGAGAGCAGGAACACAAGCAGGGGGAGTGGGAGAGGGAGAAGCAGGCTTCCCGCTAGCAGGGAGCCCAATGTGGGACTCGATCCCAGGACCCTGGGATCATGACCTGAGCCGAAGGCAGACGCTTAACGACTGAGCCACCCAGGCGCCTCATGAATTTACCCATTTCTTTTAGGTTGTCCAATTTGCATATAGTTTTTCGGTAGTAGTTTATTATAATCTTTTATATTTCTGTGGAGTTGGTTCTTCTATTTCTGATTTGAGTCTTCTGTCGTCTTGATGAGTTTCACTAAAGTTTAATTAACTTTATCTTTTCAAAGAAATGTTTGTTTCATTGATCTTTTTTAAAAATTCTATTTATTTATTAATCTGATCCTTATTAATTTCTTCTAACTTTAAGCTTTTTTTTCTAGTTCCTTTAGGTGTAAGGTTGAAGTGTCTATTTGAGATCTGTCTTGTTTCTTGAGGTAGTCCTGAATTGCTATAAACTTCCCTCCAACTGCTTTTGTTGTGTCCCATAGATTTTGGACCATTATATTTTCGTATTTGTCTCCATGTATTATCTATTTCCTCTTTCTTTGTTAACTCATTTGTTGTTGTTTAGTGGCATGTTGTTTAGCCTCCATGTGTTTGCTTTTTCCAGATAACTGATTTCTAGTTTCATTCCGTCGTGGTTGGAAAATATGTTTAATATGATTTCAGTTTTCTTGAATTTATTGAGACTTGTTTTGTGGCCTAACACGTGATCTGTTTTCAAACACATGTGTGTTTGAAAAGAATGTGTATTCTGTTGATTTTATGTCTGGATGATCTATCCATTAATGTATGTGGGGTTTAAAGTCCTCTACCATTATGTATTGTTGTCCATTTTTTCCTTTATGTCTGTTAATATTTGCCTTATGTAGTTAGGTGCTCCAATGTTGGCTGCATAATAGATATTTACAACTGTTGTATCCTCTCACTGGATTGATCCTTTTATCATTATGTACGTTCACCTTAGTCTCTTGTTACAGACTTGTTTTAAAGTCTATTAGGTCTAAGAGTTGATACCCCACCTTTTTTTTTTTATTATTTGACAGAGAGAGTGAGTAGCAGAGCGAGAGGGTGAAGCAGACTCCCCACTGAGCAGGGAGCCTGATGTGGAACTTGATTCCAGGACCCTGGGATCAGGACCCGAGCCGAAGGCAGATGCTTAACCAACTGAGCCACCCAGGCGCCCCCACCTTTTTTTCCCCTTCCATTTGCCTGGGCTATTTTCCATCCTGTTACTTTCAGTCTATATGTGTCTTTATGTCTGAAATGAATCTCTTGCAGGAACACATTGATGGGTCTTGTTTTTGTTTTGTTTTGATGGGTCTTGTCTTTTTTTAACCATTTTGTCTAGGTCTTTTGGAATATTTACACCATTTACATTTAAAGTAATTATTTTTTTTAAAGATTTTTTTGAAGATTTATTTATTAGAGAAATCATGTGCACAGGTGAGAGGGGCAGAGGGAGGAGAGAGAGAGTCTTAAGCAGACTCCACGTTGAGCATGGAGTCTGATACGTGTCTCGATCTCACCTCTGAGGTCACAACCTGAGCCAAAACCAAGAGTTGTACGCTTAACGAACTGTACCACCCAGATGACCCTAAAGTAATTATTAGTAGGTATGTACTTACAGCCATTTTGTGTTCTGATTTTTTTGATAGTTTTTGTCTCTCCGTTTCTTCTTCTCTTGCTCTCTGTAATGGATGACTTTTTTAGTGTATTACTTTCTTTCTCTTTATTTTTTGTGTATCTATTATAGGTTTTTTATAGGTTACCAAGAGGTTCATATATAATATTTTACGTGTATAGCAGTCTATAATAAGT